GACCTCTGAACTTCACAAGTCTTAAAAGTTGCCAAGTTTGGAGACTTCCACAAGTCTTAAAAGTTGCCACCTTTGGAGGCCTCTGTAATCCACAAGTCTTAAAAGTTGCATAATGAAATTGTAAACAGAACAGATAAACGTATGAGTGTAATGATTATGAAGATATGGAAAGTTTGAAAAGGAAATGAAATAGGCTTAAAAATGAATGAGAAAGCTATCAAATAAGCATGAGGGAGGTATTTGAGAAAAAACAAATGGAGAATATACAAAGTAGAGGTAAAATATGAAACAATACGAAAGAGGAATATGAAATTGAGATTATATCTGTATGGAGAAGTGAAAACCTGGAACCATGCTGTTCACTAAAAAAAGGTGTTCTATTTTACCTTTGTTTGGTGAAAACTCAAATAAAATTGTTTTTAAAAATAGTCTTAAAGTTGCCAAGTTTGGAGACCTCTGTGTTATCCTGTTTGTTATTCTGTTTTCTCTATTCTTCTGTCTGTTAATTCTCTTTTTTTTCCTGTTCTTCTGTTTGTTATTCTCCGATTCTCTTTTTTTTCTGCCATTCTCTTACTCTGCCTCCCAGGAGGGACACAGTTCAGGACCTGGACAGGGCAGGCCTCCCTTTCTACCATCTCTCTCCACCTGGCCAGACTGCACAAGGGCTCCGTTTGCCCAGAGTTTCTGCACTCTGGAGCCCCAGCACACACCCCCAGCTACTTCAAGCCTGCTCAGCCCCCGGTGGCTGCTTTTGGGAGGGTGGGGTGGAGAGAAGGTACCCTCCAGAATTTTTTGGGGGGTGGGGGTCACCCTATCAGCTAGGATGGTTTTGCTCCCCCAGAGATGGACCAGCAGCTGTCTCAACTTGTGGAAGACTTGACCACCTCTGGGGAACCCCAGCTGGATCCGAAGAAGATGAAAGCGCTGAAGAACATCTGCAGGTAAACCATAAAAGAGGATATTTGAAATTTACAGTAAAGAAAAAACACATTTAATTTATTAATGTTATTAACTGCAGGTCGAATAGCATTTGCTCAAAATTGGAAAAGCGAAAAGGTTCCGGTAGAAGAGAACGTGATCAAGAAAATATTAGAATCTGCAGAAATGAGCAGATTAACTTCAGCAATCCAAGAAAAAGAATAAACTGAATATTATATGATGAGAGGTTTATTTTATCAATGCTTGGAAAACAAAGATCGATAACAATAAGATATATTAAGTATAGCGATAGAAAACAAGAATATAGTTATTGGTATTACAGTAAGGAATTTGGATTAGCTACAATTGTAATGATTATTGCACAAGATGTTCGTATCCAGTTGACACATACTTTAAATGGAAGATGGATTTATTTATTTATCTAAACCCTTGGTTTAGGGCACATGCATTGAATGGCTGGCTCAGTCTGAAGTTTGTACTACATTATATATGCCAAAGATGGGGACCTTAAAGATTTTGATAGATTAAAAAGACTTCAATTAGTGCAAGGAGAGGAATTATATTCCGGAGTAAAGAATGTTTGAATTATTATTATTTTGTGCATGCAGAGATGGTCTACAAGCAGTGTTCTGACCTAGGCTTTCCCAACGCCACAAGGCCGAGTCCACAAGGCCGAGTCCTCGTCCCGATAAACCCCTTTTGTCTAATTTACAATGAATTCCTCTCCAGCCAAGTCCCGGCCAACAATCTTTCAAGATAGTTCCCAATTACAGATATCTTTCAGACACCGCAATACTTGGCAAGCATGCCGGAATGAGCTAATTGTCTCCTAAAAAGCCCCACTCCCCTTTTATTCCTTAGGGGAGGGGCCATTCACCATCCACCTGTGGCTTTACTCCCGAGTTTACCCTTGTTCTTGAACTTTTCCCTTCTTCTGGCAGCTCTGTGCATGCACACACTGGGAACAGGCTCCAGCTACTCTTCCGTCCCTCTGATCTCCGCCTCTGAAGGCAGCTGGGAAATGTCAGACGGCCCTGGCCACATCTCTGCCTCTGATGCAGAGCCTCATTCGAGCCTTCCTCAGCCTCCAGGACTGGCCCAGGTTCCTCCCAACCTCCTCACTGTCCGAATCTGCTGCCAGCTCTGCTGACCGCTATGGGGCCACAACAAGCAGTGGTCAAAAAAATCAAGAGAGCGGCTGCAGTGGAAATGCCACTTGCTTTTGCTTGTGCAACAGTCCTGTTGCCAATCAAGGCAGGTAGTCCTCATTTAGTGACCATTCAAAGTTACAACAGCACTTTAAAAAGTGACTTATGACCATTTTTCACAGTTACGACTGTTGCGGAATGCCCATGGTCACGTGATCCAAATTCAGACGCTTGAGAACTGGTTCATATTGATGAGGGTCACAGCATCCTGCGCTCCCATGATTCTCCTTTTGCGGCTGCCTGACTGCCAAAGTCAATGCAGAAACCAGATTCACTTAACAACCTGTTACTCATTTAATGACAGCAGGGATTCACTTAACAAACGTGGCAAGAAAATGCCGTAAAATGGGACAAAGCTCCCTTCACAAAGATCTCATTAGCAACATAAATTTGGCTCTGTGTCAAAGGACTGCCTGTGTTGTATTTATCCAATGAGTCCGTATTATTGTGGTTCACCGGCAGCCGGTGCAAACGGCAGTGGAATCGGACAGTGGGGAAGAATGGGGACCAGTCTGGGAGTCTGGAGGGAACTCGGTCCTGCATCCGATGCAGAGATGGGGCCAGGACCATCTGGGAGTGGGGTGCTGATTCCGGAGCCTCTGGAGTCTGGCAGCAGCGAGGCAGAGGAAGAAGGGGAGCCTGTTCCCATGTGCGCGTATGTGCAAAGCTGCTAGAAGGCGAGAGCAGCTGAAACAAAAGGGGCAATTCAGGAGTAAGGCTTGGAGGTGATTGGCCCTCCCATATGACATAAAGGAGGAGCAAAGGGACAGGAGCCTTTGCAGGAAGCAACGTTGTTCATTCTGTTTGCATTAAACTACAACCTCTGTGTGGACTTTGTACGCCGTTTGGCTTTTTACAGTTCATTTGGCACTTTAGTTGTTGGCAGCAATTCAGAGGAGAGAAAGGTGGGTGCTTATCTTGAGGGACTGTTTGGGACTCATTACAGGCTGGGAATGAACATAATTCCCAGCATTGAAATAAAACGAGTTGTTTTAATTAGTAGTGTGTTTAATTATGGTCTTGGGAAGCCTTGGTCAGAACAATTATTTAATGTCATGTTTAACCGGCCCTTGATATCCCTACAGGTGTTCCGATGAGCACATCAACCGTGTTTACCACCTGCTGATGTCCCAGTTAAGCCAGGATCACGCCGAGATCCGTCTTTCAGCCTTTCAGATTGTGGACCAGCTCTTTGCTCGCTCGCACCTCTTCCGAATGCGGCTTATTTCCAACTTCCAAGAATTCTTAGAGCTGACGGTGGAAACCAACCATGACCAGCCTCTCCCTCCACCTGCCGATGTGGCCCAGAAGCTGAAAAAGGCCGCCATAAAATCTGTACAGGAATGGCATGAAAAGTACGGCGAAGCCTACAAGAAACTTTCCTTGGGATACTTCTTCTTAAAACAGAACAAGAAGGTATCTGAAGGCTGGCAGTTTAGGGTTTGAGACTTTGGTGATTTATTTCCAACCTGAGCCGCTTTTAAGATATGGGGACTTCAACTCCCAGAATTCCCCAGCCAGCAAAGCCAAGCGGGCTGAGGAATTCTGGGAGTTGATGTCCCTACATCTTAAACTTGTCCAGGGTGAAAAATACTGCTCTAACAGGTTAGAGAACTAATGGTTACTACTTTTTTTAAAAAAAATTACACTGGCTTTGCTTGTGAGGAAATAAGACGTTGGTTTTGAATAAAAAGCCAGCCTCGGAATTTACCATCCCATGTTTGCAGGCTGACAAATCGTAGTAAATGCTTAAATTTAATTAAGAGTACGTGCACTGAGAAATTAACTATTTCAGCTGCGTTGGATTTGTCCTATTTTCTGCCTGCTTGAATCTTTTTCTCTACGTGGAAGTAGAAAAGGACGTCATTGTTAAACAGAATAATAATTCAGGAAAGTTATGTCCCCCCCACCAAGCCTGCACAGTCTTTTCTCCCATTTGAAGACTGATATAATTCATTATTATGGTTGGTTACACAGATGGCCAGGTGTTCAGACTGGATTTGGCATTTGGGTCTATCGATTAAATCCTTGCCAAGGACCTGGAGTAGCCAGATATTATGGTTTGATAGTGTTAAGGGTAACGTGGCAGGATGTAAGCCGTTCTGAATAAAGCTGCCTCTTGCAATTGACTGGTGGTGATTTTGTCAATGTCGATGGTGTTTTCAGGTGTTTGGAGAGTGCATCCCAGGTGCTTATTAATACCAGTGCTATCTTTGCTTTCTTTTGCCTTAATAATTTAGTTTTGTGCACCGCCCAGAGTCCACTGGAGTTAGCAGCCGAGAACTTTAAATAAATAAACTATTGAGATGAATGTATTCCTTTTTGTGCAACTTCTATAAACTTCTGGAGAACAGCTTTCATGAATTCTCTCAAAGTAGGAGGCCAGAGACCGGAAAAAAAATACGAGGAAATAATCTTTACCGATGGATTCGCCAGCATTATTAATATTAACATTTTATGCCGTAAATAACCAATATGGAACCGAATCCAGGTTTTTTATCGTGCTTGGAATGTGCCTGTTATCTTAAATGGGACTTAGGTTTCTGATTTCCCTTTCTAGGTAGATTTTCAAGATGTCCATGCCAGAACATTAGCAGAACGAAAAAGAGACGAAGAAAGGCAAAAACGATTGGATAATATTTACAAGGAGAAAGCCCAAAAAGCTGAAAAGGAAATGGAAGGTGAGAGTTGGATGGTATATTTCTTCCCGTTCTCTTTCTGGGTGTCACATTCTTCGCTGGTGTTTCTGGATTTTATCCGTAGGAGTTCTTCCACAGGACCATTGCTGTAAAACGATGATCTGTTCGTAGATCAGGAATCTGTAAAGATCTGGGTTAGGCAGCTTTGGGAAAAATAAAATTATCATGGGGAAAGGTTAAAAAAAAATGAGTTGATGAAGGTCTGAAAACTTTCTAAGCTTGTGACAGATTGTGACCATCCACCTTGGTCAAAAGTTACATACATTTTAAAATTCTCACAACACTATCAAACTATCTAGAAAGGCAGTATTATCGTTATTCCCCTCTTCCCAATCTATCAGAGTATATTCATTATCTGGCAGAGACATGGTTAACAAAGTTGGCATGGCAACAGACCAGCCAATGGGATCGGACGGCCTTGGGTGCGATTTGGCTCTGTGTGCTTTGCTGAGAAGTAAAAGTGAAACTAGAGTTGTTCTGAGCCCTCTTAGCTGCTGCTGGTGTGTTTGCTTGCGTTGCCTTGAAAGAATCTACAAGTGGTGGTGTAAACTTTACTCATTATGTTTATAAAGAAGTGAATAATCCTGCTGAATCAGTCATCTGTGTGTGTTTTCTGGACACACCGAAAACTTTGTTTAGGGTTTTTGTTTCGCCTTCATCGGCACATTTAAGTTCAGACTGTATTGCTTTCTTTTGAAGACTATTTTTGAATACGTTTTATCTCCAGCGGAGAATCATTGAACAGTGGGGCCAAGTTGGAGGCATTAGAGCAGGGGTCCCCAACCACCGGGGCGCGGACCGGTCCCGGTCCGTGGAACATTTCCTACCGGGCCACCGGTTTGCTGGGCGCCGCCATCTTGTTTGACGCTAAAGTGCTTCCGGGTGAGCTTTTCCGGTTGGAAAGCAGCGTTTGGGTCCTGAAGGAATCCTCGCGCCTTAGTTTCATCGAAGGGGGGGCTTCGAATGAAACTAAGGCGCGAGGATTCTTTCAGCACCCAAGGCAAGGCGAGCTGAGTGACCGTCCCGAAGCCGTCCTGAAGCGAAGCCCATCGACAAAGGTACAAAGGAGGAGTTGAAGGTGGCGGGGAGAAGCGGGGGACGGCTGGCTAGCCGGTCGCTCGGCTCGCCTTGCCTTGTCATGCGTGCTGATGCCGGTACCGGGCCGCGGATCATTTTGTGATGCTGGTACCGGGCCGTGGCACAAAAAAGGTTGGGGGCCACTGAATTAGAGGACATTTATTTACGTTTTGGATTTTGTTAGGTTTGTGTTACTCTCCGGGTCATCACACCTAAGTGTCCTGCATTTTCTTGGCAGAGGCGTCTCCAGAAATCCAGTCTGTGCTGACCGAGCTGGAGAGTTGTTTTCAGCTGTTGGTTCCAGATCCTTTGGACTTCGCCATGCACGAGGCTGATACCACAGGTTGGAGGCGAAGTCCTTCGGCCCGGGTTGCAAGCCAGCGAGCAGCTTTTCTGGATCACGATCCACAGCCTTGTTGTAGCAAGGACCTCCTTGCCATTTCTCCAGGACCCCAAAAAGATCCTTCCCCCGACTCCGGCGGTGAAATGGAGAAGGACCAAGATCCAGAAGATCCCTTACAAAAGCCTGCATCGAGTTCTCTCAGGGTTATGGGAGATGAGGATCCCGCCATGTTCCTTCGCAGCCACGGACTCGGCTCTTACAAATACACCCTCAGTCTTGAAGTGCCTTCAGGTAGTTGTTGGACCTGTTTCATCCAGAAGTTGCTTTTTGCTCACAGGTGGCATCGAATATCATTTTTGCCACAGCAGAACAACCCACATGAGTAGCAATAGCAATAGCAGATTTATACATCGCTTCACAGGGCCCTACAGCGGGGGTATCCAACCTTTTGGACCTCAGAGACCACCAAACTCATCATTTTAAATCCCACGGACCAGAGAACCTGGAAAAACCCCTCCAAAAAGTCTGCAGGAAAGTTCCCCACCCCATTTTCCTACCAATCGATCATTATTTGGGATCGCAGGATACCGTCTTCAGCTCCATTCTTAGTGGGGGAGAGAGAGAGAGAGAGAGAGAGACTTTTGGCTTCATGCAAGGAAAACAGCAGGAGCAGCAGAAGTCTTTCTTTCTCTCCCCCAAACTCCGCCAGAAACGAGTCTTTGTGAGACTTATCGCACTGGTGCAGCCTCTTGGCGCAGGAGGCCTTGCAGGGTCCCAAAGACTCATTTCTGGCGGAGTTTGGGGGAGAGAAAGAAAGACTTCTGCTGCTTTCCTTGTGTGCAGCCAAAAGCAGAAGAAGAAACAAGCGGAAAGAAGCAGCCCCATGGCCAGGCCAGGCATGTGGGGCGAATGGGGCAAGTTCTCCTCCTCCACCCTCTTCCCCCTCCCCTCACTACCATGTGTTGTTCACAATGCAAGCGACACAAGCCTTGTGTTCCCACGGGCCATGTGGGCAGCACAGCCTTGTGTTCCCACGCAGCCTGGATTAATTGCTTTGGGGCGGGACATTTCTCTGCGGACCACCCAAATTTTCTCATGGGCCACCAGTGGTCCCCAGCCCACTGGTTGGCGACCGCTGCCTTACAGCCCTCTCTTAAGTGGTTTTACAGAGTCAGCCTCTTGCAAACCCCAACGATCTGGCTCCTCATTTTACCCACCCCAGAAGGACAGAAGGCTGAGTCAACCTTGAACCTGGTGTGATTCGAACGGCGAAATTGCAGTCAGCCGGCAGTCAGCAGAACCGCAGTACCGCATTCTAACCACTGCACCAACACAGCTCTAGAATAAGTTGCCAAACACTCAACAGGAACATAGATTTCCAAGGGTAATGTTGAACCGTTATTCTTGAAAATAATGACACCAAGGAGCGAAGCAACACATTCAACCAGAGGTCCCCAAACTTGGTCCCTTTAAGACTTGTGGACTTCAACTCCCAGAATTCTCCAGCCAGCAGAGAGACTTGGAAGTCCTAAAGTGGCCCAAGTTTTGGGGCCTCTGCATTAAACTAAGGAGAAGAGCAAATCTAGAACTTAGGAGAAACTTCCCAGCAATGAGAACAAGTAACCAGTGGAACAAATCGCCTTTAGAAATTGTGAGTGCCCCAACACTGGAGGACTTTTAAGAAGAGTCTGGACTGCCATCCATCAGAAATAGTATAGGTCTCTTGCAAGAACGGGGTTGGACTAAATGACCTTTAAGTTTCCTTCCAACTCTTATTACTGTTGTTTTTTTTACTGAATTTATCAGTGCTATCTGTGTTTCTGTGGTGCATACATTGTGTATACACAGTCTATGTACATATGTGTGTGTACTGTGTATCTACTTAGCGAAAAATGCACAAGAATCCCGAGAGAGAAATTTGATCTCTTGACTTCCTTTGTTCCTGCTAGATGTGAAACTGAGCGAGAATGAAGACAATGCAGCCATCATCAATAACCTTTCGGATAGTTTTAAGCTCGTAACAAATAAGTATTTGCCATTGGTGCAGTATTGGATTCAGGTAAGCATTTTTTTTAAAAAAAATAAATAACTTAAGAATGAAGTTGGATTGCTTTCATTCTGTAATTATAATGGTGCTGAGACCTTTTGGGACCAAAACAGCTGTAAGATGCTTTTGTGATCTATTGTAACAAAGAGAAGGACCAGGGAGACATGAGAGCAGCCTTCAAAATATTTGTGGGGTCAATAGAGGGTCAACTTAGTCTCCAAAGCCCCAGAAGACAGGACAAGAAACAATGGGTGGAAACTAACCAAGGAGAGAAGCAACCTGGAATTAAGGAGAAATTATATTGGATTTTTAGCTCCTTATTTTTCCCTGCATTTTTCTTTTTCCATTTGAAATAAGCCGATGAGCCGCCAGTAGTTAAAGAATTGCAGATTGCCATTATTTTTCCTTGTGGTGTATGAGATGCTTAGGTCATCTTAGAAGGATGAATCTGACCGATCTGCAATTTGTAGTTATTCACCAGGGCTGGGATAAGCGACGATCGCCTGAGACAAGCCATCGACCTTAAAAACAGACTGGAGACAGCTTTGGAGAAGACTAAAAAAATGAACATTGATTTTAAAGAGAGGAAAAACCAGGTGAGTCAAACCGGATATTTCTAATTGAATATTCGGGTCTCCTGCAACTGAAGTGGCTGCGTTTTCTTAACAGGCTATTTATTCATTCTTGCCAATAAAGGAGAATATTTGTAGCTCGGGGTTGACATGAGGGGTCCTTGGTGCTCTCTGAGCTTGGTGGTTTTCTTGCAGACGTTTCATGACCCAACTAGGTAACATCAGTGGTAGAAGGAATGGCATTTGCAAACAGCAGTCCTTACTAGCACTGATGATGTTACCTAGTTTGGTAATGAAACATCTGCAAGAAAACAAGCTCAGAGAGTACCAAGGAACTCACAGTCCTTCTATCCTTCTCTACCTCCCTCCTCCTCCTCCCCCTCCCCCTCCCCCTCCTCCTCCTCCTCTTCTCCACAATACCTTCTCCCTTTTGGCACTGATGATGTTACCTAGTTGGGTAATGAAACGTCTGCAAGCCAGCTCAGAGAGCACCAAGGATCTCACAGTTCTCCCCCTCCCCCTCCCCCTCCTCCTCCTCCTCCTCCTCCTCCTCCTCCCTATCTCCTTCCTTCCTTCCTCCTCCTCCTCCTCCTCCTCCTCCTCTCCACAATGCCTTCTCCCTTCTGGCACTGATGATGTTACCTAGTTGGGTAATGAAATATCTGCAAGAAAACAAGCCAGCTCAGAGAGTGCCAAAGGACCCTTTATTAATTCTTGGCTGGCTGGCGGAATTCAGGGGGTTGAAATCTACATCTCTTAACAGATGTTCAGGTTGACCAACGTTGCTTTAATTGTCAATTCTCCAGCTTTGTTGCCTTTGTAACCCACAAAGAGAAGTTTATTCTTTTCGGTTGCACAAGCATGTTTAAATGTGTTCCCCGTTATAAGCCACAATTTTATTTTATTCTGTTTTTAACGACAATATTTACCGCAGTTTGACTTGATTACAGACCAGGGGATACATCTTAAACAGCTCATGAAATCCTCACATTCTCTAGTTTGCTAATGTACCATATATTTTATTTGTTCTCTTGGTTGTCTGGTGTTTTGTTTTGTTTTTGTGCTTGTCACATTGACTGGTCACCGACCATCATAAACAGACATTTTCCCTTTTAGAGATTTTATTCTTGGAACTATGTGAGGTGTTTTTTTACGTGTCATAAAATTAGCTCGGGGCTTGCAGTGATTAGCTTGCCCACGGAGACTTTCTCCGTAAGTGTTTGCTTTGGATTATTTAATGTTCCATGTTAAAAAAAAAATTCACATTTAAACACCCCCCCTTTTTGTTTATAAACAAGCCAGGGATGTGCTTTCTTGCTCAGCGGCTGCAGGAAAAGTCATTTGGGTTTCCAATTTCACACTTTTCTGCCAAGCTGTCGGGTGGGCCGTTCTGGGACAAGATGGGTGATGGAGTCAACGAAGCTCGGATTAAAATGGAAGGCCTTGTTCACACATCTGTCTTCCGCTGCGTGCGTGTGAGCAGCCTCCCTTCTCGGTGTACAAGTGTAGAGCCTTAAATGCACACAGAGAATCTACCGTGACACACCACTAAACCATGGGTGTCTGAACTATGTTGGGACGTGGCACAAAAATAACAGAAGTCACCAAAGTAGAATAAATCCCCTTTAATGCCTCCAACTTTGCCCTCCTGACACTAGCTATATCGTGAAGGGGGGGGTCTGAAATTCCCTAAATTAGAACTAGCAAATCTCTCCCAAGTTTTCCCGTGAACATAAATTGAACGTTTAAAATACTGACAAGCGTAATGAACAAAGTGGGATCAAGTCATTTGGGTTTTTTTTATAGTCACTGAGTTTGCAAATAAAGACCAAAGAAAAAACAACAACAAGCCTGCATTATTTTACCGTATGAACCATATTATATGAGACCAGCGGAAATTAACTTTAAGGACTCCACGGAAAGTTGTCCTCTTAGACTATAACTTGATGTAGTTAGAGAATCCTTTAGTTTTAGATTCTGATATTTGAGGTGGGGAAGAAGAAAATATACTTAAGCTGAATCCCCTATGTTGTTTCTTGAAAGTTGAACATTTTGGGAAAGGGAGGCTATCCCTGAGCTGAGGATTCCTTATTTTTTCAAAATCAGTTTGCTAAAGAAATGGAAGCCAGCCATCACAACGGTCCTGCAAAGTGGCAACGACAGTTTTCGGTTGGCAGAGAAATCCGCTTGTAACAAAGCAACAACAAGCAGCCCGCGATGAAGTTGTAGGACTTTGGGCAGAATTTGTACCGAAGCAGGATTAAAGAGAAGGCAAACCTGCTCCTGGTTTGCAAGCAGCAGAACGTTTGGAGGAGATATTTTGATTTGAAACTGCCAGTTTTTAATACCACTTTAGAATTTCTATTTAAACATTTTGCCTAAAATAATACTTGTGACCAGCTAGAGGGCAGCATCTGGTTGACTTTGAATTTTTGGAAAGCTAAGCAGAAGTTGGCGCTGGCTAGTCTTTGGATAGGGCAGTTTGAAGATGGTGTTACTTTACTGAATTATTATATATGCACTTAAGTTAATAGCTGGAATTAATGGCCGCAAAGCAGCTTCTTGGGTTGCAGTTAGGAAGGGCTTTAATTTTAGTGGAGGACTTGCAAAGGGCCACCTGTTCTTCCACTGCTTAATTCTGTAGAGGAATGTTACTGCTACAAAATAGGGACCTGTCTCTTTCGTGGCAAGACGGACGGGATGAAATCTGGCAGCTGCAAGAATAATTTAATGCCAAATGCAGGGTAAAAATGCACCTCTTTTACTTCCTGGCAGGAAAGTGAGTTGTAGCCCACAGCAAGTCTCCCAAATGCCTTTGTCCTTTCGGTTCGCAAGAAGAAAATTCTTATGGAATAGAAAATAGAATAGAAAATAGAATTGAATCGAATCTAGAATAAATATAGAATACAGAATAAATATAGAATACAGAATAGAATAGAAAATAGAATAAAAAATAGAATAGAAAATAGAATAGAAAATAGAATCGAATCAAATCAAATCTAGAATAAATATAGAATATAGAATAGAATAGAAAATAGAATAAAAAATAGATTGAATTGAATATAGAATAAATATAGAATACAATAGAAAATAGAATAGATTGAATTGAATATAGAATAAATATAGAATATAGAATAAATATAGAATAGAATAGAATAGAATAGAATAGAATAGAATAGAATAGAATAGGAGAATAGAGTAGAACAGAAGAGAATAGCTGGAAGGGACCTTGGAGGTCTTCTAGTCCAACCCCCTGCCTAGGCAGGGAACCCTACCTGTATTTGGACTCGTGGTCAAAAATGCATTTTTAGGACTGCTAGGTCACGCTAGTGTGCTACGTTTGGCAAACCTTGCATATTTAAACTTTAAATTCAAGGCTAAAAAAACAACCATCTTAAGTAGTACTGTAGAGTTATCAACCCATTCTTTTGCAGAGAGGTTCCAGTTGGGAGACAGTCTGGTTCACAGTTAGGGGGCCTTTAAAAGCAAATAAAGTTTGGGAAAAGGAGGCGCTAAGTGCCACCACAAAGTCTTATCGTTCGATGACGTGTCTGGCCATGGAAAAGGTGGGAAGGGTTTGGGAAATAGACACCCTTCGTGGCTCTGCTTCTTGTTTTCTAAGGGAAAAAAAATGAGATATTTTTTTTTGGTCTAGGTTCAGATGCCAGAGTTGACTAGGGCGGGGCGTTCATTCTTTCATTCATTCTTTCATTCATTCTTTCATTCATTCTTTCATTCCCCATATTTCTCAACCACTCATCTCCCTCAGAGTTATTTAGTCGCACGTCCGTTCCAGGTTGAACCTCTGAAAGAACATTCTAGGTCCATTATGGGCATTATGTAAAAAGTCCTCGGCTTACGACCACAATTGGGCCCGAAACTTCTGTTGCTAAGCGAGAGACGCTTGTCACGTGAGTTTTGCCCCATTTCACAGCCTTTCTTGCCGCAGCTGTTCATCCCTGCAGGGGCTCAAGTTAGTGACACCGTCATTAAGTGAATCTGGCTTTCCCCGTTGACTTTGCTCGTCAGACGGTTGCAAAGGGGATCACGTGACACACACACACACACACCCAGGAAACACTGCGACCATCATAACTAGGAGTCAGTTACAAAAGCGTCTGAATTTTGATCACGTGACACATGGGGGCTGCAGTGGTCATAGGTGTGAAATAATGGTCATAAGTATGAAAAACGGCCGTGTCAGAGTTATAAAAGTCTGCATCCCAGTGAAGAATCTTGGCAGCTGCTCCAACGGTCAGTCGATCCCAAGGATTTTTATCCATGGCAGGAGGCGTGTATTTTTTGCAAGCCTCGCCTCGCCTCCCTTCGGGGTAACTGGGCTCCCTTTGGCATCGGGGCGCAATTCAAACGGTGACGGTTGCTCCTATCAGTTGGTTCCGTTCCAATTTCTCTCATTCATATATGTCACAGAGAGAGAGAGAGAGAGAATGAGATGGAAAGAGAGAGAATGAGAGAGAGAGAGAGAATGAGAGACAGAAAGAGAGAGGGAGAGGGAGAAGAGAGAATGAGACAAAGAGAATGAGAGACAGAGAGAGAAAGAGAATGAGAGAGAAAGGAAGAATGAGAGATAGAAAAAGAATGAGAGAGAGAAAGAAAGAAAGAGAAAGAGAATGAGAGAAAGAGAATGAGGGACAGAAAGAGAGAAAGAGAGAGAATGGAAGAATGAGAGAAAGAGAATGAGGGACAGAAAGAAAGAGAGAGAGAGAAAGGAAGAATGAGAGACAGAAAAAGAATGAAAGAGAAAGAATGAGGGACAGAAAGAGAAAATGAGAGACAAAGATAGAATGAGAGAAAGAGAGAAAGAAAGAGAATGAGAAAGAGAGAGAATGAGAGAAAGAGAATGAGGGACAGAAAGAGAGAATGAGAGAAAGAGAATGAGGGACAGAAAGAGAAAAAGAATGAGAAAGAATGAGAGAGAGAAACAGAATGAGGGACAGAGAGAGAGAGAGAGAGAAAGAGAGACTGAAAATGAATGAGAGAGAAAAAGAAGGAGGGACAGAAAG